CTAATTTTTTCCTCTGCTTTTTTTTTATTGTCTTTCTATTTCTCTTTTTTGTTTTACCTAATAGCTAAAATGAAGTGTATTTTTTTACTGTACATATAGTTATGGTTCTTTAAAGCAGAAAATATTATTTAAAGTATATAAAAAGCGATCATATAGGAAAAAAGTAATTTTTTTAACATAAAAGTTTATATTATAGTAAAATACAATTTCTTATAAGGTCGGAAGTCAATTATCATTTTTTTTTAAAAAAAACTAGTAGAATTACAAATTGTTTATTTATCTCTGACGCAATTTTACACTTAAAAAAGGTAATTTTGTAAATACTAAATAGGCTAATACAAATTTGGGATAAATTGGATTTGAATTTTTTATGAAGAATCTTATATTCAAATTTTATAAATGTGAAAAAAATGCTAATGAGATAAAATATCACAAAAAATAACTAATAAAGATTAATTATAAAAAAAATATTTATCTATAGTTACATATAAAAATAATTCATTATTTTTGGGTACATAATTTTTTTTATTGTTTTATTCCTATAAATTGTAACTATATGTAATTCACTCCAAATCTCACCCTCCCACCTCTTACTCTGTTATTTTTATTTTTTTAAAAAAAAATATAGAGAGGTAAGTCTCTTATATACTAATATGAATAATATATAGTTAAAAAAACTTAATTATTTGTTTAAGAATAGTATACCCTCATTTAAAAGTGACATGACTAATCGTTTCAAGGGGATTTCATTCAATTAAAGTTGCCAATTTGTTTAGAACAACTTTCTACGGCCCTTCTTCCATTTGCTTTAATTGTGCTCTTCAGAATAGTCAAAGTGAAATGAAATATGTGAGAGAAAACGTGTGCTCCTTCTTCATGATGAATTGTAGTTTTATCTTTTTAGTTGCTAATATCTATCTACAATTACACGATTTATTTTTATACTTAGACTCAAACAATAACAAAAGTCTTAGAATATGTTTGAATGAGTGTTTATAAATTTAACTTTAAATAAAATTAATTTTGAAATAAAGTTATTTATGTTTGGGTAATTTTACTTAAAAGAAAAATAATTTGATGTAAAATTTAGTATAGTTTTTTTTTTAAACTCAACGAAAAATTAATCTACTTTTTTATTTATACTAAAACTGAGTTTTGGAGGCACTAGTTAAAATTGATTATGAAGTAAACTGATTTATATCTGGATGTTTTAACTTCCTTTTTTTTTTCTTCCTATTTTTATCTTCAATAATTTGCTTGAAATTCTTTTTTTTTAATATTTTTTTCCCGTTTAAAAACTCTTTGCAAACATCTTTTTAACTAGTTCAATAATTAAGAATAATATCTCTGGCAATAATTTCTACAACTTTTACTCATTTTTTCATTATTTAAAATTTGTTATCTATAGTTTTAATTAATTGGCGATGTAATTTTATTTATAAGGTATTTTGTATTTTTGGGTGAATAATACTCAAACGAAATGTGAAGTAGAAAGCTCTAGAAAAAAGATACTAACGGAGTCAATTACCCTTAACTCCTTAGGCCATTCGATACAAAGTCAAAGGAACATAAATAAAATAAAATAAATAAATAAATAAACGCGACTCTCGCAAGTCTAAATTTAGCAAAAGCATCGGCATCTTGGTTTTTTTTTCTTTCCATAGAATTTTTACAAGTCAAGTCAGCATAGTAGGATTGATGCACTTAATATTTTTATGAATTTTGTTTAAAATAATAAATAATAAAAATTATGACATATAAATCAAATAAGATAATGTATAATTAAATAAAAGTAAATAAAGATATTTTTATTATTATTATTAATGTAAAATAATTAAAAAATAAAGATTAAAGATGATTACAAAATAAGTAAATAATTATTAATGATAGATTATTCAATTAATTTTTTTATATACATAGTTTTTTTCTATTTTATCTTTAAGAGATATGATAATAAAAAAAATTATAATAAAAGAATATAAATGTGTAAAACATATAAAAATTAAAAGGAGGTATGTGTCTCTCTCTATATATATATTTTATAAATTATAGATTAATTTTATTGTTATTTTTATGCATTTGAGGGACCAATATTCTTAATAAGTGAAAAACTATAAAAATCAAGCTTTTATAAAAGAGTAAAGTACCAACACAATAATGGTACAAGGTATGGGGACCAACTAAAATAACTGAATATATAGAACGTGTTAGGGACTAAAAATCAAACAATTATAAATCATAAGATCCAAAATCTAAATTATAAGAAAAATATTATTAGATCAAAATATTATTAGATCAAAATATTATTTAATTCATTTTGTTCAAATTATTTATGGGACCAGAAGCTCAATCTAACAAATAGGAATATATATCTACAAAATAATTCTTGTAATGAGTGGAGTCCATTACTTTCCATTTTAAATAGGAACAGTAGTATACGTTGATTCAAGAATTTTAGTATTTTTCTGGATACATTTTAATAATTTTAGTATAATTATTTTAAAATAATTATCATTTTAAAATTTCAAGGAAAACATTAATTAATTATTTAAAATACCCTTATTTATTTATTTATTAGTATCTTGCTTAAATAATTAATTAATTCACAACTATACTCTAACTTTTTACTAAGGATGTTTTAACCAAAATGATACTTTTAAACAACAGATAATTTAAAAGAAAAAAAAATGCTAATAACATATGAACTAGATTTGATGTAGTGATAAGAATTAAAGATAAAATACAAAAATCTTAATTCTGAATCTTAGTATCGTAATTGCAATTACTACGAATATAAAAAAAATATATATCACATTTTGAAACAAATTAATGACTCCATAGCCCATTGGGACGCCTAACCTTAAAACCAAGGGCACCCACCACTAGGAATCATAAAAAATCCGAGTGTCTTTTAACATCTTTTGCTCTTCTCATCCCCAATACAACCCCCCTTGGCTCTTCCTTTTATGGCTCCCCCTACCAAATTTAAGTGCAATGAAACCAAATAATGTTTTGTGTTTGGAGCAGAGTTAATTAAGACTGAAAATGATTGAATAACAGTTATTTTTTTAATATAAAATTTTTGAGTAATATTGTTTTAATCTTATGAAATGCTCTTCATCACATGCTCATGTCTAATTGGGCCACTCTTCCATTCCTCGACAGCGTATACCCCTCAACCAGACGTGCTTGCTTATCGTTAGGGGTATTTATAGGATCATTTTTGGGTTCAATTTCATCTAACAGGTTGGATGGAAATTTTTTTAATTTATTTCAACAAAACATTCAAACCTAAATAAATACCGAAAACTCATACAAACTTCATTATAAAATTTAACATCACTATTATTCTAGTATACTTAAAAGTTCTACATCGCTTAAAAGTCGAGGTTAAAGATAGTTTATAAACACTTTCCCTTCTTAACCTACCTACACGCCTTTTAAAGGACAAAATTGTGCGGCTCAATTAGTAGAAGACATTTTGTACCTCTCTTTTAAAAAAAAATTATGAAAATTATATATCAATTAGTAGTTAATTGAAGAGTATGGTCTTTGTGGATAATTTGTAGAGTAATTTAAAATGTAATTAGAAGAATAAAATTATGATAATGTGTAAATGAAAAAGATTATTGTTTTTATTATAATTATTATAGATTATTATTATTAATGAGAAAGAAAATTTTGTATTTGTATATATTTTATTTTATTTAAATAAAAAAAATTAGAAAATAAGAGAGAAAAGAGAAGTTAAAAGAAGAAAAGTAGCCGGTAGGTAAGAGTGAAAACTCAAGCAAATATATCAGTGAGTAGTCAATGAGAATAGAAATAACTGTTGTGAAAAATGTGTGTTGCAATAAGAGAAAAAGGTTGCCAAGAAAAAAAGTGAAAAAGAAATAGAATAATCGGTTATCGGTTCATTTGTAATGTAAGAAAAAAACAGTCGATAAAGTAGAGACTGTGATCAGATAAACGGGAAGGTATATCTTTTATCTATTATTTATTAAAATATAAATTCAATTTTTATATATTATTTATGATCTATAATAATAATGGTAATAAACATAACTGTGATATTTTGTTTCGAAGTATAATGTCAAACAGTTTGTGCTAATAATCTATTGTAATCAATTGTATTATATTGTTAAAAGAAATTAAATTTAATATTTTTTATTTATAATTTATAATAATAATTATTATTATAATAAAGGTGATAGTTTTTTTAATATAATTTTTTAAAATATTTTATTTTTTATAATATTTTTTCAAAATAATTATAATATTAATACGAAGTATTTATTATAAAAAATAATAATTAATTTTCTTCAAATATATGAATGCATATAACATAGATATTTTCCTTTCAACACAATCTATTTATTTCTAATTTTAGGATTTAAACACTAAACATCTTAAATAACTACATATTTTATTATTTTATCTTTTTATTATTTTAATTTTTTAAGATATAAAAATACAAAATATCTCTTTTATGTTAATTATAATAGTAAAAAAATATTGACAAACGAGCATGTGTTATTTCAATAAAGACTAGTTAAAACTCCCTCTTAATCAATATATAAGAAAAAAACAACTTTAAATCTTTTGGATTAAAATATAAATAAATTTTAATTAAGTCAATATTATTTAATATTTTTAAAAATTAAAATAACTTGAATCAATTTTTTAAATTTATTCGAAACTAGGTTTTTTTTTGTATATAGGTTTAGAGAAAGTATAATTTTATTTATATTGTTTATTAATAAAAAAATATATAAAATTAAAAAATAACTACTGTAAAATGTAACGAATCTAGAAAGTATAGTTAAATAATAGTGTAATATTGAGAACCTTTTCCACACAATTCAGATAAAAATCCATTAAAAATATCATAAGCATCATTATTAGAAACTTTACCACAAATTGACCCGTTTCCCTCTGAGTCCCACTCCCACATCACACTGCCATTATTTAAACCCAAACAATGATTAATTACTCCAAAACCTTTTGGTAACCCAACCGCACCTCTTCCGAGTCCCAGATCCCGAACACACTAAAACCCTTCCGACGTGGCAGCACCCAATTGGCTCCAGGAAATCAACGGCGCACATGAGGAGAGGACGCGACAGGTAGTTCGATCGTACGGCACGGAATAGAGGACCGCTCAAACCTCAGTGGAAACGACTTCGTACACTGCCACCGAGGTCTGTAGAACAGTGAGAGTGAAGAGAGAGAGATGTAATATAAACACAGCTCGCACCATTCTACTCTCTCCAAGAAGATCGATCAACCACCTCTCTCTCCCACACTTTTTTTTTCGCTTTCGCTATTTCGTTAGTGAATGTTATTACTACACTTATGGATCCGGGCGCGATGATGAACGAGGGTTCCTTTGCCAATAATGGGACCGCCAATACGGCGCCGTATAGCTTGGCGGAGATCTGGCAGTTTCCGCAACCGATTAATGGCGCCGGGGGATTGGGACTCAGAACGCCGCAGTTCGGACATGGGCCCGGGCCCGGCCCCTTTGCGGATTTCGCTGCCCATGGGCTTGGGCCCAGTAATAGCACCAGGAAAAGGCGCGACTCCGAGGACGATTCCACTAAGGGCGTGTCCACCAGCAATGCGGTGGTATATATATATATTATTCTCTTATTTAATATTTAGTTTTGTTTTTGTTTTTCTTTGGTGTACTTAAGTTAAGGGTTGTTTGGATTGCACAGAATGAGGGCGATGGAAAACGCGTTAAGGCAACAGGGAATAGTGGCGGTGATGGTAATAACAAAGGTGAAGGAGAAGTCAGTTCAGGAAAGCCTGCGGAGCAAAGCGCTAAGCCACCTTCGGAGCCTCCCAAGCAAGATTACATTCACGTTCGGGCCAGAAGGGGTCAAGCCACTGATAGCCATAGTCTTGCAGAACGAGTAATTTTATTTTATTTTTTATTTTTTTTGTATTTTTCTATAACGTCAATTTCTTAAGGGTTGTGTTAAAAAAAAGTAAAGTGAAAAATATGTTGTTATGACTTATGTATGAGTTTTCCTTTTTTTAAGTTAATTTAAAGCGGAAATTGAGTTTATGGATATGTTGTAATTAAAGTTGTTGACTGGTTTCTAATTGGGACGTTGGTGGACACTGGACAGGCTAGAAGGGAAAAAATTAGCGAGAGGATGAAAATTCTTCAGGATTTGGTACCTGGTTGTAATAAGGTATTTTTTCGTTCCTGTTAAGAATATCTTTCCTACCCTAAATAGAGTATTTTTCGAAGAAGAAACTATAAGCACTTATAAGCTTGTATGGCTATAAATTTTGTTTCTACTCTCCTATGTTTCTACTCTCCTATGTGTATGTATGTATGTATAATGAAGGGGGAATTTTATATTTTATATATTAGAAAAGAACAATGTTATCTTTTGATAATTGGTATGATTTTATGAATTTATGATCCATGGAAGGTATGAATTGAGATGCTTTATCTGATGTAGGTTATTGGGAAAGCATTGGTTCTTGATGAGATAATTAATTATATTCAATCTCTTCAACGCCAAGTTGAGGTATCATTGTTTTTTTACATTATGTTGACTTTTTTGCACAGTTGTAATCTTCTCTCAAATTTATGTCTATTTTGAAATTGATGTTTTGAGGTTTGTGCTGTTACTGGATGTCGCAGTTTTTGTCAATGAAGCTTGAAGCAGTGAATTCAAGACTGAACTCTGGTATTGAAGCGTTTCCTCCTAAAGATGTAAGTCTTAAACATTCCTTGCTTTTTATACTGAACCTCTGATTAAGTTGAAACCTCGTTTTTTCCCTATGATATTAAATTCTTCCTTTTGATTAGAATCAGTATAAGTCTACCAGTTTTTATGTTTCTAGTGTTGAACCACCTTTTCTAGATACCATGTCATAGGACTACAAGAGTTTGTTTTATTTGCAAAATTTGTGTATCAGGTACTTTGAATTTTTTTTTTATCGGAATCTTTAGTTGCTTCCTTCTTCACAAATGTTGCTTTTTAGAGCCTGCGTAGATAAATTTCTCCCTGGAACACTAAGAGAAGAAAATATGAAGGAAAAATAAAATTAGCTTCTCCATAAGATATAATTAACTTATGTACAAGTTAAAAAACATATTTTAAAGAAGCTAATATGAAAATAAGCAAATTTTAACTTTGGAGAAACTTATATCATTTTTCCTTCTTATTTTCTTCTCTTAGAAGTAATCCATGGAGAAATTTATATCTTAAGTGCTTATCAAAGCTGGTTAATTCAATAATATGTTTGGTTGAAGATGATGAGAGCATGTAGGAATAGGACATTTTCTATTATGTAAATAAAAGGCTTAGAAGTTTGTACGAACATGCACTGAAATCAAAATTGAAACCAAAAGGATTTTAAATGATTGGTGGAGTTCAGTTTTTCATCATTGTTGTAGTACCTTCAGTCTTACAAAACATCAGTTTTTGTTCCAGTTTGGTCAGCAAACATTTGATCCAGCTGGCTTACCATTTGGTTCACAAGCGCCAAGAGAGTATAGCAGAGGTTCTTCACCAGAGTGGTTACATATGCAGGTAGGAGGTGGTTTTGAAAGAACAACGTAGTCAATGAGATCCCTTCCCCCGATAATAAATACATAAACCAGCTGTATTCCGACCTTCAGTAGCTCCCCAGAAAACATCAATGATATACTCAAGGAAGCAAGTCCAATGGACACATCATTCCCATTTTCTACACTAGGCATGGAGCTGTTACTATTTTTCACAGGACTGCTTCTGTTTTTATTTAAGCATCTCCATATGTTGGCGTGGTGGAAAATGAATTCATTTACTCAATATGTAGTATAGTGAACTTTTAGGCTTTGTATTTTGGTACTGAACATAACCCTTAAAATGATCATTCTTGTAAAAGAATGCTGCTTCTCCCTAATACACGATGCTTACATTTTGTGTAATAGTCTCAATATTGGTGTTTGTTTGTGAAGCAAATGTTGAATAAACGAACCTAATACAATTTTGCTTTTGGCCCTTAGTCTGACAAGTGCAGAAGATCTTCAAGACCTAAGCATATTGATCTGATAGTATAGGATTCCAAGAAAATCTGTTGGGTACACTGAAACTTTTTGATGGCCATTGGGGTTTGCCAGGCAGATAATACAGGAAATGGGCTTTTCCTAGGAACTTGGAGATCCAAGTGGCTACAAGCTAACCTTGGAAAATGTAACCCATGCGTGACGTATGTGTATCCTCTCTTGTACTAGAGAATTCCAGAAGGAGAGAAACACAGGCAAAGAAAGAGGTTAAATGATGAAAAAAGTTTTAACACACTCGTCTCTGTGCGTGTTTCTGGTACTGAAATTGGTACTGAAACTCAAGTATTTGAGAGGAACCACATTCCTTACCTTGGCATTCTAAAGGATGAATAATTGCACTTTTGATTCACATATTCACATGAAGTTTAAATTTTTCGAAAATATCGCAGACATGTTGCAATCATTTATTGCTCTATTCCACCTAACTGATTAACAAAAATGTCTAATACAAAACGAGCATGACCCATTGTTTGTGTAAAATAATCCATCAAATCATTTCAAACTGCACTATCAGTGTCACGACCAATCAATATCAGAATGCTTAAGTGTGTTGTCTTCTAGTTTGTTAGTAACTCAGGCCAGCCTTCCCTAACTTTTGTGTTAGTATTTTAATACAAATTATACACTTAGCCGTTCGTGTTTGATAAGTAACATCTTTCGCAACTGATAGAGAGAATATCACGAGATTGGCACATATGATTTGCGTCATTCTATACTTGTGGACACGATTTCCTTACTCTCAAAATGTAGAAAGCATTATAATAAGATGAAAAATTCATTCTTTTGAAAACAGTAACAAACGTAAAAATAGAGATATTTTTTTAATGATTAGTAAAAATTAAAATAAAAATAAATGAAGCACTGGTAACAAATTGGGAGCGTGTGGATCAGGATGCGTGGGGATTTTAGTGCTGATTCAACCTCTTAAAGATTTTTCTTCCGATCTAAACAGGATTCTGTCAATTTTGCCCCTTGTAAAATTATTATCTATTAGAAAGGAGCTTAGTTTTTCATACCATGCACGCAGTGCCTGTTTTAATCCATACAAGACTTTGTTTAGTTTGAAAACATAAGATGACAATAATTCATTTTCAAAACCAGGAGGAGGTTGACATATGTAAATTTCTTCTGAAATTGTTCCGCTTAAAAATGAACTTTTAACATCCATCTGATATAATTGCATGCCAGTACATGCAGCAAAAGCAAGTAAGATTCAAATGGCCTCTATTCGAGCAACAGGTGCAAAAGTCTCAGTAAAGTCTATACCTTCCTGCTGAGAGTACCCTTTTGCAACTAACCTTATTTTGTTTCTTAACATGTTTCCAGATTCGTCCAATTTATTTTTGTATACCCATTTTGTTCCTATGATTGTCCTGTCCTTAGGCATTGGAACAAGTTTCCAGACATCATTCTTCTGGAATTGACTCAATTCTTCTTGCATGGACTGAACCCAGCTCTCGTCTGACAATGCTTTGTCCGTGGTTCTTGACTCTGTTTGGGATAGCAGAGAAATTTGTGCTTGAGTTCTGAATGAACTTCTAGTTCTTACTGCATCCTTTGCTTCTCCAATGATTTGCTCCTGCGGATGATGAGCCTTCATCTGCCAGTTGTGATTGACTGGCTTTCTATCCTTTCTTTTGTCCTGTTGAGTCGCTATTTCTTCAGACTTAGGCTTCTTTGTTTGATCGTTGTTTACCTGCATATTCTCAAAGAAATTGCCTAGCTATGATATTTCTTTATTAGGCTTGTGTTCATCAAATTTAACATGAATTGTTTCCTCAACAGTTTTAGTTTTGTTGTTGAACACCTTATAGGTTCTTGACCTCTCAGAGTATCCAAGTAGGATACCTTCGTCGGTCTTTGAGTCAAATTTTCCTATATTATCTTTGGTATTCAGAATAAAATATTTGCATCCAAACAGATGAAAATATGATATGTTGGGTGCTCGTCCCTTCCACAATTCATAAGGAGTCTTTTTCAGTAAGGGCCTAATATATATTCTATTTTGAATATAGCAGGAAGTATTAACTGCTTCTGCCCAGAAATGTTTAGGGGTGGAGAAATCGTTTAGTAAAGTTCTTGCCATTTCTTGTAAAGAACGATTCTTTCGTTCTACAACCCCATTTTGTTGTGGAGTTCTAGGTGTTGAAAAATTATGTGTTATTCCATTTTCTTCACAAAATTCTTCAAATTGTTCATTTTTAAACTCTTCCCCATGATCACTTTTGATAGATGCAATTGATATTCCTTTTTCATTTTGAACCCTTTTACAAAATACATGGAATACCCTAAAAGACTCATCCTTGTGAGTTATGAACAGTACCCATGTCCATCTAGTGTAGTCATCCACAATGACCAATCCATATCTTTTACCACTTACAAATGTTGTTCTAGTGGGACCGAATAGTTCTATGTGGAGCAGTTCAAGAGGTCGTGAGGTGGAAACATGATTTTTGCTTTGAAATAAACTTTTAACTTGTTTCCCCTTTTGACATGCTTCACATACACCGTTCGTATGATGCACAAGATTCGATAGTCCTCTTATGAGGTTATGCTTTTTCAGTTTTGAGATTAATCTCTTACTTGCATGACCAAGTTTCTTGTGCCAGATCCACTAATTTTCATATGAAAATAGACAATCAACATTATGATTTTCTAGTTCGTTAAGCATTATTTTATACAAGTTGTTGCATCTGTTAGTCGTGAATAATATGGATTTATCAGGTTGACTAACAGTACATTTATTTTTGTTGAAGGATACTTCATAACCGCTATCGCACAATTGACTTATGCTTAGTAGATTATGTGTTAATCCTTTAACATACAGAACATTATCAATGGAAATAGAGAAGTTGATACCTATTTTACCTATTCCCATGATATATCCTTTCTATCCTCCTCTAAATGTGAGTTGCCCTTCTTTCTTGGATTTGAGGTCTAGGAACATAGACTTTTCGCCCGTCATGTGTCGCGAGCAGCCACTGTTCAGGTACCATGACTAGGCATTTTTTGTTTTTGTTGAACAGATCTACAACAGGCACTATTTCAGTTTTTGGTACCCAAATGGATTTGGGTGCATGAGTGTTAGCACTAGGGGTTTTGGAATCCCTCTTCTTATGCATGTGACTGCATTTAGACGTAAAATGTCCATTCTTTTCATACAAAGAAAATGCATAAGTTTCTGTCTTGATTTTTGACTTAGATTCAACAAACTCTAATCCTATTCTATCTTTCCCACTCTCAGAGTGTTTTAAAAGATGCTCAAGATTTTTTGTTCCTAGTGTGAATTTTGACAAATCTGATTTTAACAAGTCATTTTCTTTGGTTAATTTGATTACTTCTTCTGAAGTTGAAAGAAGTTTTGTATTTTTATTTTTCAGTAGACGGTCTTCTTCAAGTAATTCCAAAATTCTTTTCTTTTGTTCTTTATATGTTGTAGGAATCTTTGCTGAATCTGATAGAAGTTGATTGTATGCATGTTCAATAATTTTGAGGTAAGATTCGGTTACATCATAATTATGAGATTCTGAAGATGAATCTACGTCTGCCATG